AGTTATTTACTGAAACTTTCTCCATGACATGGTCTTCCAGAACATCCGCCAGTGATTGCTATATATAAGATATTGCTACATCCCATAACCTGAAGCTGAGCTGGACAAATTCTTTGCAAGCAATGTGAAGAAGAGCATTTGTAGAAATAAGGTGTAAAGGGGAAGAATTACATGGTTTGTGAAGTCCTCTGAAAGAGTCAGCACGGGGACAAGGGAGATCCAGCTGATAGTCTACTCAGGTTCCTGAAAGGAATTCAAATTTGTTTCTCCAAAGGCTCCTATAGAAATTTGGCTGTTAGAGGTCTGGAGGGAAGAGCATTGTGCATAGAAATACAAGAAAGGAAGGGTAGGAATATATGTATATAGTTTGTTTTCTCAATGGAGAGAATGTGGTAGATCTGTGCTGTTTTACATAGACCTTAGTGATCTATAAAAGGGAATGAAGAGCAGGCTGACAGATTTTTAGTGACACTAAGCTACTCAGGATAGCAAAAATAAAAGCTGATTGCAAAGAGCTGTATAGGGACACACAATACGAAGTGACCAGGCAATAACAAGGCACATGAAATCACATGATATAAAGGTAACACAATGGGGAAGTAAAGCAATCTTAACTTTACATGAAGAGTTATGAGCTCTGGGTATTTTCATTCACAAAAGAAATGTTGGAATCACATTAGCTAGCTCCCTGAAAACTTCATCTCAGTTCCCAGTGGTACTCAAGAAAGCAAACAAAAAATGTTTGAAATTACTGAGAAAGAAAAATAAAATAAAACAGAGAACAGGATGCTGCTATAAAAATCCATTTGTGTGGTCACACCTTGAGTACTGGGGCAAGCTTTGATCTTGCCACCACAGAAATGCTACATTGTTACTGATTAGCACATCATAAAGACCACTTCAGTACACGCATCAGCTGTCTCCTGAGCAAAATTCCACATTGCAATAAGGATGAGCCCATCTTCTTACTCTTCTACAGCACTTGTCATCCAGGGATCTCAAAGCATTTTACAAAGGAAGTTAAGTATCATTAAGCTTGCTTTATAGCTGGGGAAACTGAGACCTAGAGCAGCAATCTAACTTGTTCAAAAGTAAATAGCAGATGAAGGCAGAGACAGAAGTGAACTCCAGGTCTTCCTATTTGCTCATATACCCTCTTATGCCAGCAGTTAATTGATTGTTGTGAATTATTTTCAACGAGACCCAAAAAGCAGAGGTTAGAAAACTGTTCAGTTTTCAAGCACAAGGGAAAAAAATCTATTAAAGCTGAACGTAAGGTTTGAAAAAAAACTAAGTATTTGATCTCTGTTTGAAAAACTGAAATTTAATACAATTTTAGCTCTGAGAAATATTGCAGAGCAGTTCATATCTGGGGTCAGTTCACAACAGTAGGTACTGAGGAAAAAAAGCAGCTCAGTTAACTGCCTCTGGTGCCTATTTTCTGAGGTTCGTCCTCTGTTCTTGCTGTGTTTTCATGGTTCACCAGTTCTTTGACAGGGATTACATTTAAAATTGCACATAAAAAATGTATTTTTCTTAATAAAATCAGGCTGAAATTCAGTCCCCTGGCATGTATTTCCAACTCTTTGCCCTTTCTTTACCTTTGGAGAGGGATGTATGACTAAAAATTGGTTATGCCACTCTGAGGAAAGATACCAGAATTAAAAAACCCACTAATTTGAAGAGACAATACCTAAGAGAGTGTATTTTTCTAGTGTTATCAGAAATTGAATTTCGAAGCATCCAATATACTGGATGGTTAAATCTCTCCCGGGATATGTTCAAGCCAAAATACATTCAGGAATGAAACAAAGAAGGATGATTACCTACATTTTCTCCCTTACATTTTTTGTCAATAAAAATACAGGTGTCTCGCCCAATATTCAGGATCAGCATTTATACCCAATTTCCTTTGCCTCTGAAATTGTCTCTGAAATTGTCTCTGAAACGGTTTCCCTGTTTTCAGCCCAAATCAATGTTCAAGTTTTTTCTAAAGACAAGTAGGAAAGCAATCAAGCAAATCTCTCTACTGCATTGTTCAAAGTTTTTGTACCCTGAGATATAACAGAGAATAATATGGTTTAAGGATGGACTTGAGGACTGCTACCATGACCAAAGGGCTTTATTTTTGGCCAATCTGCTTTTCCCGGTGACGCTCAGAACTTTTGCATGACCTGTTTCTTAGTGTTATGCTACCTTGTGCTGCTGCAGTTCAATGCACAGAGACAAGGAAGTGAAAAATAAAAACCAGTGGAAATAATTTTTGACAGACAAAATCCTCCTATCTTTTAAAGTGACTTGGCATCTTTAGAAGGAGGTTTTAGCCCTCCAGAACTAAGAATATTTATCAACAAGAGCACTTGAATCATATTGCCCCTGGCTGGTATAATGATGCCTCTTGAACACATAACGACGCTACCTTTATCTAACAGGTAACCAAAACTTAGCTGAGCTGTACACTGGGCACTTGGCTCTTAACTAACTAAAGTGGGTGGAACCAATTTTAACTGCTACATTCTGAGTGCTCGCATGTGGACAGGAACTGTAATTTGATGGAGTTTTTAGGCTTTTAGCTTTTAGTGTGAGCCCTCTTTTGGAAATAATATTAATTTCTTCTAGTAACATTCATGTCTCTCTATCTTTCCAGTGGTACATTGGGATAATACTCTCACAGAATTGTCCTGTACGTTCTTTCATAAAACATGAACTTCAGTTGAACATTTTAATTCTTCATTAGTTCAAATTAGTTAGTTCAAATCCAATTCATTAGCTGTGACTTAAAGAGGTCACAGAGTTGTACTATTTTTGAAATCTTTGTGTCTTCCATTTCTGGTGGCTATTGTTCACTGGAGAGAAGAGGAAAGCAGCACTTTGTCCCCATCTATGTTAAGGCAGAGGCATACTGACTGTGTTGCCCGGAGTACATGGTAGACGTCAAACTTCAGTGCTCTTAATCCAGCATTTCTCATGGCACCCTTGAAAGGGTCAGTAACTCCAATAATAATAAGTGATGCTTGAGTCATTATATACGAGTTGATTTTATGTGCGTAAGGATCAAAAAATGAGCCTGTCAAGTTGCTTTAACACACTGTGGCGTTGTGTATTTTAATTATAAACACAAGACTCAACTGTCAGTTTTTTAAAAAAAAAGGGGGGGGGGCACATTTTAGCCATCAGGAGTGTATTGTAACAGGAGTTTTCAGATTTGCCTTTTAGACTATATATCCAGAGAGCTCTTCTCCTCACCCAGCAGTGCTTTCTGATGTGAGCAACCATCAGGGGAAGGAAGGAAGGGCTTGCCTTTATGTTACTTCTCTAAATTATATCAGCTGCTTTCCACCCCTCAGTGCAATTACTGTTGTTATCTCATTAATGGTTTAATTAGAGCGCAAGTGCAGGCCAAAATAGAAAGGTTCAATACACTATGTCAGTTCAGGGCAGTATAGTTACTGGCTCAGTTTAGAGGGGTCTCAAGGCTGCTCTAAATTAGAGGCAGATATAGTGACCCATATATAAAGAAGCAGCCTCCAAGTGTACCTCCATTTTCTGTGCCTCTTTGGGGTCTTAGAAAGTGCTGTTCTGGGGAGAACAAAGCAATTTTCATGACTCTAAGCTACCTACGGTATCTGCCAGAGATTCTATCCAAGGATTTTACAGACCTTGTTGTCTAAAGGGGTTATGGTAGATTCACAGACTTCTAGGCAATGATGTGAAAACTAATTGCAGAATATTGCAAACCTGCTACCTTGTGTTGTCTAAATAGGATTTGTTTGTGAGTTAGTCTTTATATCAGTGAGTCAATTTACTGCGAGGCTGTTTGTGTTTTTGGGATGGCTCCCTTGGTGACACACAATTATATCATGTGTATCACACCAATTGTATTTCTCTCCTTAGAACATAAAGAAAAGAATTTTTACATAAAACCAGACTCCTACTACATTTTTTTCTCTTTTCAGCTACGCACAATATGATCTGTTAGCTGCATCTTAACAATTAACACAGAAATTAACTCTCCTGATTTCAGGTTAGGAAACATTCAGATTAGTAGCTGGCTTCCTAGGCAACAGAGAAGCTTTTTTCATGCTGAATCACATGAAAGGCACAGCGCAAGGTGAGAGCGCAAGGCTTCTTAGCCTTGAAAAAGCTGGCAGTGGCTGTCTATTCTGGAGCTTTTGCACCTTCTCCATGGGTGTTGGAGTGGCATAAGGGACAGCTATACTAAGTCTTGGTTCCCTAAGAGAGGGGACCCCACCGAGCCCTGTGAATTCTCTGTTAGGACATCTGCCTTCTTCCTAGGTGGCTTTTACCGTAAAGGAGTGGAAGAGTAGAATCAGGTTTTTCAGTGCAGTCCTTTCCCATCCACACCCAGTATTTTCTGGGAAAGCATCACTGCACTTTAGTTGAAGGTTCAAAATTGTTTATGAATGAGCTTTCTTCTTCCTCTGCCTACTGTTCGTTGGCACAGGAGAGACAGTGTTGGGTAAACAGATAAACAGCCTGTTAACTGTAGGCGGCACTGAAAAGGAAACTTAACAACAGGAAAGCTAACGAACAAACACACAGCAATGATGGGGATGTAGATGACTGTACAAGGAGATGCAATTCCTTGCCATGATTACCACATTTTTCTAATCAATGTGCATGACGGAATTGCCCTAGTTCTCAAGAGCCTCAAGTGGATGAGCAGATATTGTAACGTACCTCCTGGTTTTGAACATTTTTCCTTCCCGCATCTCAAAACATTGTACAAAGGGAGGCAAAGAGCATTACAGAGGGAGGAGGAAAGAATGGCCTAAGGTCAAGGAAACAGCCAAAACCAAATCACTGCAATTCTGACTTGCAGTGTTAGCTACTGTGGCAACTTCAGAGAACAGCTGAAGACGTTTGACCTTGTTTGTGTCTTATTTTTACATAAAAGTAGATGTGGTACATCACAGATGCCTATCAAATTACCCCTCAATGGGAGATGGCAGTGTCCCTCCACCCACATACATGCTTACCAGAAGAACAAGAATCACTGGTCCTTGATATATGTAGTCGATATATTTCCCTGGCTCTTTTCCAAACCAGCATCTGTAAGAAACAGAACAAATAAGAAAATAATTTATAAAGAGGAGTGCACTTCTTTTACATTGTAATATCAAGGACACCATAGACAGATGTTCCCTTATTCCCTGAGTTGTTTAATCACGTACATAATCGGCAAGTGATTGAGTTTTCTGCTACAAAGCCACCTTTTGTTTGGACACAGATCTGAGCTCCATTTTCTCCTCCCATTAGACCGTTCATGTTCCCACTATGTTTTTGGCTATTGCTCATGTAAATATTTCCAAGAAATGTGAGAACCTGATATAAGGAGGATGCAGAAGATGTGTCCTGCTGGGTCTGAAAAAGGGATGAAAGAAATATTCCGTGTAAGGAAGAAAAAAAAAAAATCTGTTATCTATTGCAGTGCTCCACAAAGTAAGAGCTGTTACTTACAGCTAATGTGTCTCAAGTTGCATGGAAATGCTGTCTAAATAACATACTGGATGAATAAGGCGTTCATCCCATTGGCTTTGAACCAAGCTGGTGACCACTAAATCCAGCACACAGTACAGAGACATCATTTGAAGCTAGCAAATACCTGATCCAACATCACCAAAGGGAAATCAACTCAGATTAAGTGAAACCACAGGTAAACTGAAGGGCCTCAAACTAGCAGAGAGCCTGGATGTGTCATGTGTGACTGAGTGCTGGCTTGACTTTCACTGCCGCGAATTACAAGTGTTTTTCTCCCTGCTGTGTTATACAACAGACTAAGCCTGTGATTTCACAGCAACCTATACTGACGTTCACTTCATTCTCTTAGCTGAGAGTAATAAATCAGTTATATTTATGTCAGTAAATGAATCAGAAACCGGGCTCAAGTCTGGACTCAATCATTTACACCATTACATTTTCCTTGGTGCAGTTTTGGCCCAGGCCAAACAATAGCCAACTCCAAAACTATTCCTGGGGAACAAATCTGGAGCTAGCACGAGCCAGAGGACATTCCCAATAGCCTACCAACTGCAGCTACCCTGATTTGGAGGCCAAGAGGGTTTAATAATATGGATGTGGACTTCTCCATGCTATTTGGACTCCAGCCCCAGGAATGATTCCAGGCCCAGCTAATTTAATATTACAGATACAGCCACACAGTCTGGATCCTGGTTCCACCAAGCAGAGAGAACTTTGCTATCATGATGCCTTAAGGTTTAGGTCATTGGAGCTCCAGATCCCTTAGGAAGTAGATTTTGGAGTTCAAGAGTCTGAGAGTTTTCTTCCCTTTTGTGGATACCACATAACAAGTTTACACAGCAAAAATTAGGCCTTCCCTGTGTTCGCCTTGTGACAAAAGATAAGCTTAGTGCCATAGGAGACATGAAAACAAGGGTAATTCCCGAGCCAAGGAGACCATGGAGACAGGTGCAGATTTGCGCTTTTACAAGCATGCAAGAAATAATACTTGTTGCCTCAAAGAGGTTGCAGTCTGTAAGACATGACCTCACGAGTTCAAAGCAAATAAACTGAGATAAGGAAAGCTATGGTTCAGATGGAATTCTTTTGAATCACATAATGCCCCCAAAGCCTTTCTCCAAAATGTGTTGCTTGCTGAATCAGAAAGAGCTGTTTGCCCATTGCAAAATGCTCTTACTGAACTGACTGTGTACAGAAATGTTGAGATATGCAGCAGGTATCCAGGAACACAATTCAGTATCGCAGAATTGTTTGCCTTTTATTGATTCCATTTCTACATCTTTTAAGTTCCAAATGAATGACAGAGCTTTGAATATTTTATAAATATAAAACATGTCTGTTATTCCCTGGTGCACTGGCTGCAAATTAGTGTAAATTGATAATTTTGCAACTAATCTTCCAAAATTTGGTGATGAGAGCAAGACTTGGAATACGTTACTTCCTCCAGCCAAGTTATCATCCAAGAAGAATCCCCAGGGCAGCCTTAAATGAATGAAACTGATATTTTTGTTTTTTTGTTACTGAGATGGAAAGATACAAAGAAAAATGAATTACAAGATATGCCAAGGCAGGAAACACAACTCTCCAGAACTTGCAAGACCTACATTTGAGAGAGGTTTTTGAAGGGCATTTTGGGAGAACTGTTATATATTGCCTGAAACTCAGAGAAGCAAGAGCCAGTAGAAAAGGAGTTTCTGCAAAGCTGGCTGTTCTAGCAGAGGAATCTAGCAGAAGGACTAATAAGAAGCAGACTGAGGCATATGGGAGAACTTAGTGGGCTAGAAAAAGTCAGCAGAGAATTTGGAGCAGAGCTGGTTGAGCACAAATGGGGTTCCAGGGCAAAGGCTGCTCATTGCTCTTTGGAATTTAAATATTGCTTAACTGTAAGACCATACTGAAGAGCAAAATGCTGACATTTATTCTCTGAAGCCTGGTATTAGACCAAGGTTGCATTGAGTGAAGCATCACACACTTTCACATGATTTGAGGAAACAAGGTTTGCGGCCAATGGTACACTTCTACAACACAGGCATCTACAGGGGAGCTTGATGCTCCAGGTTCCTTTTGCAGTTAGCGGAGAAAAAAAAAACACCTTTTCTAGGATGGTGTTCATCTCATTAGGCTATAAAACAGATCTGTTACATTGTAATCTAAACATTTCTAATATACCCATTAAGTCAGGCGAGTAAGGGTGGCAGGACAGATATTTGCCAGTGACATTACATATGTCTGCATTTGATTAGCTATATTTCATACTAACAGTCAAACTGGGACCTTAGCTGAGATATTGCAAACTTTTCTGCCTGTCAGCTTAACCCGTACTTTAAATCCAACATAAGCCATTATTTCTGCAATAAAATCAGCACTGCACATTTCTTTAAAACCAAAAAGAGAAACCTAAACCAATGAAAATTACTTGGTGCATCAGAATTTTAATTCCATCTGTGTGAAATAAAAGCCATTTTCTTCTTTTTTCTTTTTCTTTTTTACCTCTGAAAGAATAAACAAACACTCCCTGAATATTGAAGAAGACAATTTAGGAAGACAGTTCTGATTAGACTCAGATATGTAAACACAATTCTATTGAATAGCACTAATTAATATTCTTCATGGTTCTCTGATAGTTCTTCATATAACAAAAACCACCATTATCATTATTGTTAATTAGATCTTACTAAATGTTCTTCCCCTTACCAACTGTCCATCAATGAAATTACTACAATAATTCTTAATCATTTGTGTGGGTTTTTTTATTGAGACTTAACAGTACTTTTTTCAGAGTTGTCAGATTTTGCTACAGAACTGCTAAACTCCAGACAGGATATTTGCACAGTACCAATTATATTTGCCTCACTATGCAGAACATGGTCTCTAGTAAGTACAAAAATGAAAAAATTAAGAAGTTGGTTGAAGCATTTTCTTAACATTCTTCCTGTGTGCTATTTTGAACTTTTAAACTATTATGAGCTACATAACTTGAACCCCAGTTCAACCCGCAAACAACTTAAGTTACAGTTGAAATGCATACTCAGATGAAGGAGATTCCCATTTTGTCCCAAATTTTGGGCTGTCCACTGAGATATCCAAACAGTTTTGGAAGCAGCAGCATAGTACATGTTTTCTGCATATGACCAGTTTGCTAGGTCTGACCTCATGGGGGAATAATGCATAATTTCCCCAGCGGTCAAGATAAATAGAGCATAACAGCTAGGCTGACTGGGGAGATCAGCCTATGTTCACAAAATAGCTGAGGTTGGCAGGGGCCTCTGGAGATTGTCTAGTCCACCCCCCTGCTCAAAGCAGAGTCAGCTGAAGCAGGTTGCTCAGAGGTGTGCCAAGTTGTTTTTTGAGTAGCTCCAAGGACAAACACTCCACAATTTCCCTGGTCAACCTCTTCCCAGTGTTCTACCAACCCCACAGTAAAAAGGTGTTTCCTGATGTTCAGATGGAATTTCATGTGTTTCAGTTTGTGCCACTGCCTCTTGTCACTGGGCACCACTGAGAAGTGTCTGGTTCCACCTTCTTTATACCCTCCTATAAGATATTTATAAACATTGATAAGATCCCCATGATCCTTCTCCTCTCCAGGGTAAACACTCCCAAACCCCTCAGCCTCTCCTTGCATGAGAGATGCTCCAGTATCCTGACAGCACTTATTTCTCAAAGCCAGGGATTACTTTTATCTCATCTGTCTATATTTGCACACACTTACAGAATTCAAATTATCTATATCATACCAGCACAGAGAAAAGATTTTGTAAATGCCACAAAGTTTGGTCTAAACTGTCCCAATGCCTGACGGAGTGGAGGGGAGAATAACCATAGGTAAGTTAAATACACACATCTGCACATCTGACACACATGTACCAGAGGTGCATTCCTACATGTACAGTAAACAGTTTGACTGTTTAGCAGAATCTGCTCCTTTCCTCAGCCTGGGAGGCAGTGAGCAGGGGCTATATGAAATATCACATGCTTTAATGCTTGAGAAGATGACTGAATATTTATGACAATTGACAGGCCCTCAGCAAGTTATTCATCTCTTGTTTTGCTTCGGTTCATTTACTTTACTGAGTCTCCTCTGCATATGACATTACTACAAATGCAAAAAACAGATTTCATTTAATAGCCTTTGCCTTACAGCTTAATGACCTTATCAGCTCTTCATTTACGAGAGCTCTGCCTGTCTGCCTGGGTGCGTGTGCGAGATCAAAGGAATGGCACTATTGAAGCATCCAGTCTTTATTTCTCAAGCAGAGTATAGTACATGAATCTTGGCCCCATCGCTGACAATAAGCAAGCACAACACTGAGGCTCCAGGCCATTACACCCCACACTATGGTGAGCACAAGCCAAATTCTGCACTTTCTCAATGCACAAAACATTTGGAATAGCTATGATGTGCAGTGAGGATGTATGTGAATGTTTCACTCCAAGGCAAACACCAGCATTAAAGACAGAAAGGTGAAAACATCCCAAGACATTAGGTTTAATTGTCTGGGTCAACCAAGAGTAACCCGGTGCCTCCCTTCTCAGTAAGCATGTGAGGCAAATTATGTACATGAGTTAGAGTGTACAAGTTTGTCCACGACATGGATTTAAAAGCGCAAGCTCCAGTTGATAATCCACCCAAGGCAGAGAGCTTGAGCCTAGAGACTCAACAGGAACAGCCTAGATATTCTGCATACCAGCTAGGATCACTTTGTCTTTCTTGCCCTGCTGACAGTATTTTGTATCCCCCTTTTCTTCTGCTGTGCAGGATCTGGGCCAGTTACACCTTCGCTGGTGAAAGGTGGTACACGTACCTATGTAAATATGTCATGTCTTTCTTCATATTCATGGTACATCAAGGGGAGATTCTTTCACATTCACTTTGCGGGTGTACAATGATGGTAAAGGAGGCAGTGGTACAGATGATGCAGTGGTTTCTCCATCTATCCGCCTTGTGTGCAGTGCAATCCCAGTTGTTGTAGCACGTTTCTATCAGGGGGCCTACTTTCCATTATTTCTTTTGGGAGTGGTGAGCCGTCTTCCAAAATGAGGTGTTCAAACCTTTGTGTTGAACCCACTCACAACAGGAATGTTTAATGTGCATCACCATTATTAAAGCATGTGGTGTTTTGCCTCGGCAGGTTTTAAGACACAAGTTTTGGTTATTTTGTGTTGTGCTGTTTAAGCTGACTAGTTCCTTCAGCCTTAGTTCTAGAGCTGAAAGTCCTATTTCAGCACAATGAGACAGCTGCCATGCTGCCCTGGCTTGCGCAAGGTAATAACTACGAGGAACCTGACCGTGAAGCAGACCCAGAATGCTGTGATCCTCGACCCATTCAGAAACAAGAAGGTCTGTGGACACAGAAATTAGGGACATCTGGTAATCAGAGGTTATCTCCCAGGGCTGATTCACTTGGACAACCAAGGAACAGGTTCCAACTTCTTGCCATTTTGAGACTACAGTATGAATTCTCCTGTATGATTATTGTAGGCAGGGATGGAATCACACAAAACTTCTTCCTCCGTGAAAGGGTCTGATTGCCAATGTGTGTAACTCCTGGGAATTAGATTATCACTTTCAAAGTCACCCTTAAAGCTACAGAAGAGGAACTGGTCAAGGGTTCAAAAGTTTGTGGGGAGCAGAGGATAGGAAATTAGTAGTGCATAACAGAATTCCTCCCATGGCTTCAGCACGGATGCCCAAAGCTCAGCCAGTCATCCTATCCATCTCCCTTACAGTCAGGAGAAATAGTGCATGTAAGTCTAATTCATCCAACCTACTTTGGACATCTCTTCCAGATGAGATGAAATGCACCCCAGAATGCATTTACTGTTTTGACTGATCACCGCTGATCATAAGAGACCACAGATTAGTGCAGACACAGACACCTACAAGGTAGACACTTACATTTAATCACATGCACTACAGACAGACAACCATGTGGTCATATGAAAAACAGATTCATGGAGAAAAGAATTTTTTTAAGGTTAGGGAAGGGAGCTGTAACAGATAATAGACATTGATCCAAACACTAGTTGAAAAGTACAAGCTGAGCTATATCTGACCAGTATCAATGTTTGGGAGAAAAATTCCCAAAACGCAGATGCCTCTTTGTCTCCCATATTTTTCAATTTAATGCACTAACTGCTTCCAATTGGAAAAGCCAGAAACAGAAATGCAAAAATTCCAGCCATAAGACTATTTTTGGCAGACTGTCAACTGAATTCTGCACACCCAGAAGGCTAAATTCTTCAGTGCTCAACTGTAGTTTTTAACAAGGTCTTACTCAAGCAAAACTCCCGTTGAAGGAATTACCCTGACTGTAAAGCATGTATAAAGCTATCAAATGAGAGCTTCAGGGCTTAGCCAAGGATATTTGGGAAAGGTATTTTCAGGAATTGACTCAAGTAGTGCTCTGAAATTTGAGATGGTCTGGATTTGGATGGAGGTGATGTGACCTTTCCTCTTTCCTATCAATCAGCCTTATTACTAAATTACCAGTTCAGCCTGCAGGCATTTCTTAATTTATTTAGAGAGCCACATAAACACAAATGTTAACGTTACTTACTGTTCATTTTCATAATATAGTTTGCCAATGGCCCAGGCAACGATGATTGGGCAAGGAATACCTGCAACAGCAAAAAATCAGGAGTTAATCACAACCTATGGATGGATGGATGATACAGATGTAGATTCAGATTTGCGTGAGAAGAGTCTTGGTTAATGAACTGGAAGACTCTAGATACAAGTGGTCCTATCCTGGTATACTTGAGACATCACAATTGCTAAGACCTCTTTATGTATATACAAAAAAGATCATCTCAAAAAGAGAAAACTCTAGTACCAGTAAGAAAAGTTAATAAAATAATTAGCGAACACACATATATACCTATATTTCTATATACCTATATTTCTACATAAGTGATCAGAACAATTCTGGCTGCTCTCAATCCTTTCATCCCCCAGCCTGTACTGATACCGGGGGTTGCCCCGACCCAGGTGCAGGACCTTGCACTTGACCTTGTGAAGTGAGGTGAACCTCATGAGGCATGTCAACCGCACCACTCAGCTTGGTGTCATCTGCAGACTTGCTGAGGGTGCACTCGATCCCACTGTCTGTGTCATTGATGAAGCTATTAAACAGTACCAGTCCCAATACGGACCCCTGCGGGACAACACTCGTCACTGATCTCCACCTGGACATTGAGCCATTGACCACTACCCTCTGCATGTGGCCATCCAACCAATTCCTCACCCACCGGACAGTCCACCCATCAAATCCATACCTCTCCGATTTAGAGAAAAGGATGTTGTGGGAGACCATGTCAAAGGCCTTACAGAGGTCCAGATAGATGACATCTGTAGCCCTTCCCATGTCCACTGATGTAGTCACTCCATCACAGAAGGCCACTAAGTTGGCCAGGCAGGACTTGCCCTTGGTGAAGCCATGCTGGCTGTCTTGAATCACCGTGCCGGCTGTCTCGAATCACCTCAGTCATGAGATGAGGAAGAGTAAGTGGAGCTGGCCTTTTGGCACAGACCTCCTGGGGGAAACAGGAACTTTTTCACCCAGGCATTCCCCAAGCAAAGACTGGATTGATGACAAAATTGGAGGAGGAGAGTTTCCCGTCTTCATTTCCCCTTTACCTTTAACCTGTCAACTCAGGCAAAACCAAACTACAAGACAAGCCTCTAAAGCTCCATCCCTCATTCCAACCTCCAGGTTCACATCCCTCTGAAATCACTGCTACTCTAAGGTGAATTCATGACTCAACATGACTTATACCCTCATGCAGGAGTCAGCACAGCCTCGTTTCTAACACTGCCTTTTAACCTCCCATTTGTTGCGTCTTCTGTGGGAAATGGAGGCTTTAAAGAGATGAAGCAGAGTGGAAAGAACCACAACACAGTAGGGAAGGGATTGAATTGCTAAGTGGTCATCTTTAACCTCAGCAAGAAGTATAGTGAAGCTCTGATCTCCTGCACCACCACCCCTGGTGGCTCTTGTGCCTTGCAAGTGATTGTGTTGTCTTCCATCTTGTTCACCATTGACTCACAGGGTCCGGTGCACTTGTTTCCCCCATGTTCTTGATAAGCATGAACAGACAAAATGTGCCATGTCCTTTCTCCTGGAGGAGAACATCTTACTTTTCCTTGTGAAGCAAAGAACAGGGATTTAAGAATGAGGATGGTAAAAGATTGTGTATTGGAAGGCAAAGCAGAGACAGAAAGCACCCAAAAGGGTGAGAGGAAAGGTATATTCAGCTCACACCACTTCTACATTAGTAATCAGAGACCCAGAGGGCTCTGAGAGAGGTAGGGAGGGAAAATACTAGGGATCAAACCAGTCAGGGGGTCTGTGAGAGCTGTGTGAGCAGCTGATTTTCCAGTTTGATGACAGAACTGAAAAACACTGAAAAAAAGAATTGAATCAGTTCTCCACATAAACATTTTCCTTCTACTACAACTTCTCTTTCCTCCCATTTGATTTTGGATTGAATGACATATTTTGTTTTAAAGGCTGTTTCTGCCTTCAGAACTGCAATTCAATTACTTCTGCTCAATTCTGAGAGGAAGAGGCATTTCTGAACAAAATGTCATTCTACTTTCAGAAAAGAAAATATTTGTGACTTTTTTCCACCTTTCTTCTTTAAACAGAAAAGATCTGCCAAATTCATTAGTTCTGTTTGACCTCAGATTTTGCATTCAAGCGAACAAGCTGCCTGCACGGGGCTTGTCTTGCCAAACCTCTCCTGGCCAAGTTCACATCATGAATATATTGGTTGGAAAGGACCTTTGAAGGTATCCAGTCCAATCTCCTACTCAGAGCAGAACTATCAACACTAGCTCACCTCAGCCAGGGCTTAGCCTTGTTGAATTTTCAATACCTCCAGGGTCAGAGATTCCACAGCTTCTAAGTCATCTGTTCCAGTATTGCACTACCTTTTTGGTAAATTTTCTATTTTCTTAATGTCCAGCTGGAATCTCCTAGTCTGCAATTCGTGGTCATTGTCCCTTCTTATAACATCTGCTACTACCAAGAAGACTTTGGTTCCATCTTCTTTGTAACTATCCTCCAAATCATTCTTGGTACCTAACAGATCCTCCTTAGCATCCTCTTTGCCAGATGAAACAAGCTCAGCTTCTTCACCCTTACTTCACAGGTCATGTCCTCTAGATCACTGATCATATTGACAGCCTTCTGCTGGATAATCTCCAGTTTTTCCACATCCCCTTTGACCTAAAAGACCTAAAACTGACCACAGTATTCCAAAGGCAGCCTTACCAAAGCTGCGTAGAAAGTATTAGTAACTTCCCTGAATCTTCTGGCCACACAGTATGTGTTTTACTTTATTTATGACGAGAAGGCATTGATGGCTCATACTCAGCCTGCATCCACTGCGAGCCCAACATCCTTCTCAGCAGGACTGCTACTCTGACAGCCTGTACTTATAGACCAGCCTATGTTGATGCAGCTAGAGAAAAGGAGCGTCCTTCGCTCTGGCCCAGGCTGACACAGTAGAAGGGAGGTAACAGCATGCAATGAGCTATTTTTCTGTCTTTGAGAGGCCACGAGGACAGTACAAAGGTGACATGTGACTCTTTGTTAAGGGCTGTTTTCTAGGAACGAACCCCTCAGCAGTCCAAAAGACAGCTGTAAGGTTGGACTGGCAGATAATTAGGCTTCTTTTCTAGTCAGCTCCTCACATAGAAGTGTCTCATCTGTATCTTGAGACTGAGTGGTCCACAGTGGACAGTGCCTTTTCTGCTTCATGCCATGTTGAGCAGCAGTGTGTAAGGGATTGTGATCACTGCTTTGCTGATCAAAGTGAAAGGGGCATGGTATGAACTGCTGCATTCCCAAAATGCTAAGCCTGGGAGTTCTCTGTCTTTCCTTAACACCAGGTACCTGAGGATCTAAATGAAGAAGAGGAATCCAGCAACAACCTATTAGCTTTATGTCATCACCACAGTGAAGAACTAAACCTGATCTCATGTTGTTCTGACAAAGTTAGGTTTGAATGTCAGATTTCACCACAGTGGGATTTTTAAAGTTTGTTCCTGCTGCTCTTGTCCTTATCACTTTAATGCCAGGTACCACGTAACACCATTGTAAACACACAAGGCACTTACACCATCCTATGAAGAGAAAGACCCATTTCCGCAGCTTATCTGTGGAATAAGTCATCACTATAGCAGTGTGTAAGTAGCAGCCTTCCACAAACATCCAGAAGAAGTTGGTCACCACAAAATAATTGTAGACAGTGGTAATACATCGACACCAGGGCTGGAAAGGAAACAGAAAAGAATATTTTAAAATCATGGTGAGAACATTTAAAAAATTCTGTATCTTGTTATTCCCTTAAAAATCAATGGTAGAATTCATTCATGGAATGCAGATTTATACCTGACTTGAAATCAGAATATCTTAGGTGCTGTGGGGATCTCACAGCTATGTCTGTGACTTTCTGCTGAGGCTTGGCTTTGACCACAACATGTAGGATCTCCTGTACCTGAGCATATCTGGAAAGTTAACATGCCATAAAGCACGCCCACACCAGCAGTCTGCAAGAAGTTTAAGAAGCAGCCGTGTGGAAAGAAGACAAAAGGAGGCAGCTCATTTGACTACAGATGATCTTTCAGAGAGGTACAGCCATAGCCTAGGGTCCTGTCCAAAGATGACATAAGAGTCTAAGCATATCTGAGGCAGTATAACCCACCAGCTGAGCCCCATTCAAAGAAAATATAAGGTAGAAGTTAATGTCATAGTCTTGTTTCTTCTCCACTGAAGGGAAGGAGCACCACTGACATTTAGAAAAAAGAGATTTACTTTAAAGATATGCTTTTACCAGCTACTTCATCCCCTCTATTGCTGCCATTAGTGCTTCCGTCTGTAAGTCACATCACTACACACGTCACCTCTGAATTTTGCCATAGCTTCAACAGGAATTTTTGGTCAGGCTCAGTGTATCAGTAAAGGCATCTTCTCCCAATGGCTGTGCAGTGGGAGCACAGCTGTGGAATACACAATTAGCTATAAAGAGGCAGATGGTAGCATCACATCAATAAATCACAAGTAACTGCTGATGGTAATTTCCATAGTGCTACACACAGAAGTCTGGGAAAATTTCTTTCTGACCAAGCAGGCATTCAGCATATTCCCTGAAGCATGACATTAATTACCTATGTTAGCTGGTATCATTGATGTCATTTTGGTTTCACCATTCTCCAGCCTTTTAATTAACTCTGCTAAAGTATTTGAAACTTTTGACCCCCAGTTAATTTTATTTCAGACTTCATATGCATGAGGTATTGATGATCTCTAGGCAGTCAACAGAGCAGCAGATGCACTATCAAACCCAGCAAAATTCTGTGGACTAGGAATTTATTGGACAAGAAACACAGTTACAAAATTATAGCCTATTCAGAAGTTGTGATCACTTCATTTATTGAGCTGAAATAAACAGAAGACATCTTTTGGATGAGTTAAAGCTTTCATTTCTGTATTACTTCATTAAGATTTGAAATTTAGTTTGGCTTCATCTTTAAAATAGGATTAAAAACCAAAACAATTCAGAAGAAGATTAAATATTTTGTTTTTGGCTAACACCAAACAAATACTTTGGTTCCATTCCTGACTGACCCCCAAACCAGTAAGACTAGGTTTCCAAAGACTCTAAGTCTCACATTCGATTTTTCAAAGGTATAAGCATGAATTAAATCTTTCCCTGTGGTCTCAGTCTCATGTAAATTCTCTGATACAACGTATAGACTCTTGTTCCCCTCTCTCTCTCAGTTGCAACATGTACAGTTTTTGTCCTCTCCACAGCCGCCCATTTTCACAAGAATTGTAAAAAATAATTTTATCTGAGCCTATTGTTCCTGTGTCAGAACTGAGTGGAATTGGCTAGTGGGTTGGGAAGATAATAGGACAGATACAGACAAATACACATGATGGTGGTGAGATCTCCCTTTGCATCATTTCCATAGGAAACCAGAGTAAAATGAATTTTGAGCAATTCCTTTTGGAATCGTGGATTTATTATTATTAAATAATAAGCCCAATTAGCAGAACTCATTAATTTATACCATGTCATTTATTTGACTGAGGATTCTTGATCCCCGTATGTACCCACCATTAGGCTCCAGATATCTTCAGCAATTCCCCTTCTTGATTTATTAACATAAGCACTATAACTTCATGCAAAATGTTTCCACGTTAAGTCCTTGATGCTTCTGTAACTGCATTATTACTGATCAGCACAGAAGACATCACATCATTAGCTGGCATAAATGATGTTGCTCCCATTGATTTCAGTGGTGTTATTTTGATTCTGACTTATACCACAATAAGAACGTAACAAAGTTACCACTAAGCTTACATAAAGCACCTTCCCAAAAAGACTGCACTGTTCTGCAGAGAAAAGATGAGTTAATGAAAACTGAGGATCTGCCCTTATATTTGCAGGTTTATATTTTCCTTGGCACATTGTGGTCACATTGCAAAAGGCATTTGAGTGCCTGACTCCAACTGATTTTTCCTAAATAACTGTAAAAATCTGTATTAAGATTTGCAGTTTTGTCATGAAAGTAAATCATGCAGCATAGAACTGTCAACAATTAAGATCGTATACCATCATCTTCTGTAGCCTGAAAATGTCAGAAACACAGACAAAGCAACCAGTGAATTAATAGAAGCTACATCTTCTCAAAGGAGCATCTGCTTAAATAATAATACAAAGTTATGCATAGATGTCTCAAAAAATTTAGAATCTTAAGACTTCTTCATCTAGGTACTAATGACTTTTCTATTTGTTTTCCCAAAGTATGCGATTAAAGTTCAGATGCCAAATCTTACATTTGAAAAGTTAACCAAGGATGATGAGTGCCCAGCTGACATTAAAATGAATGGATATCCAGGCTCCTGGGGTGGTTTTCAATTTCTACAGGATCAGTTCCTATGTGAGTGGAGCCACATTGACTTATATCAGCTATGGATCCAGCTCATATTCCATAGGCACTTTAGTCCACCTGCTTTCCAAAGAGAGAGAGTATGAAGAGGGTGTGTGTGTATGTATGTGCATGTGTTTTTGTAGCACACTGTTAAGTTTTTCTTGATCATGGAGGTAAATATCAGGGGACCACCCTAAAGGGAGAATATGCCACTACACGAATATTACAATGGGAATGAGAATCTGCCAAGGGATTATCAAAAGGAACTATTCCCCAGGAAAATCAAGATAAATGCTTTTTCTTTTGGAGTGGATGATTTTAATCCACTCCAAATTCTTTGTATTATTGGGGCTGCTTGGTGACCAAACGGGGGAGGCATTACAATACTTACACAGGGACTGATTCAATGTCCTCACTCAAACCAGCACCTGCAGTTGGGAGTCACTTGAATGAACATGAAATTACATGGAAAGTAAGAGAAATGGGAGCATGGTGACACACTGCATTTCTCAAGAGTGCTCAATGCCATGCAAAGAAGATGCCCCATTTCTTGCCCCCTTCTGCCTTCCCGTGTTTTACTGTGTGGATCTGTCCAGTCCCTTGAACTGGCTCTGATTCTCAATTACCCATCAGAAAGCTGACTTAGATCACTATGACAGCAAAAAACTCTTCCTTGCTTTTTTGTTAGCTAGGTTAGTTCTCCACCAGTTTAGTGAGTTCAGTCTCCAAGGGTTCAGTCCTCCCCAAGGGATCAAGAAAAGGAACAGAGCTACTGCAAAAGAATCAGCAGGAGCTGGAGTGAAGCGTTCGGGTCCCTGGAGGAATGATCCATCCCTTTCAGTGACAGGGAGTTGCTGCTGGATGTAGCCCATTCACAGAACTTCATCCTCAAGGCCAGCATGGTGAAGAAGGGATTAGCAGAAAAATGGAATTTTGTAAAAAAAACCCACAAAGATATCAACAGCAAAAATTGTACTGTTTCAGGCCCTATTTCTTATTTTATTGGGAGTCCCACTAACTCCAGACAGCAAGGTGCCCACTGTCATCAGACAAAGTAGCTGACTCAAAGCCTCAACAGCCAAAACAATTATTTCTGTACCCTGTTCATGGAGATGTTACCCTCTGGAATGAATGCACACCACTGCAAAAGGCTCTGACAAAAATGTTCAAGAACCACCAAATTTAGTCTCTCACACAATACTGTGTCTCAGCAGTATATAAATTTGGAAAGCATCTATGGTCAACGAAGATAAGAGAGAAGCATTTGGGAAGGATTTTTACTTTAAAAATCCCCTTTGATATTCAGTAATGAGGAAATAAATGAAAATTTAGCAGATCTAAGCTCACGTTCTTCATCTTTTTGAAATTACATGAAAGTCACTCTGAGCATGTGGATAAGTGCCCTTTGCAATATTTCTATCAGTTGAACAAATTCAGCATCCCTGCCTGCCCCCAAACTACATGGCAGAGACATGCTACCTCCAAGCACTTACTTCATTGCTTTCATGTATGTTGTGGTCTATCATTTGAAGCAGAAACCACATCACATTCCTCAGGATGAATGTGGTGATCAAGTTCCAGTGGATAATATTCCGCAGGCATCTGATACTCCTAAACAGGGAAATAAATCTCAATCATCATATATAGTGAATATATACACATACGCATTAATGACTATATCAAATAAACAAGCTAATTCTGTTCACGTGCAAAATTCCTCATGGTTTATCCCCCTCCATTACCTCTCTTACACTATGAAACAGGAGGTTCGTCTGTCCAGTGGGTCAGCAATAACAGTCTATATCTTTACCAGCAAGCATATCTGGGTTGTGTCCCATTCTCTGGCTCTCAGGGTAAATTGCACAGCCAGTGCCAGAGACAAAACTTGGATTTTGCAGTGTAGTCACAACACAAATAAATGACATAAATATAAAACAGCAACAGGAGGATGGCAAAATCTGTGCTTCTTTTCCTTGCTATATACCTTTTTTTCCAGAAACCACACAGCATAACTTTTGCAAGGCCATGTAGAACAATTTGTCTTGATAACATGAGGAGCTTCCTTTGACAGCAATCAATTCAAGCAAGTGAAACAGGAAAGACCCAAATATTCAAATGGTCATTTCACCCTCGGTTATTATTTTTGCTCCCCTCCACCCCATCCCATCAGCTCTATTATAATGTCAACTAGAATTGATAAGCCCCTAAACAACAAGCCTGCACTGGAGTCTGTTGCATTGTTCACAGAAGGAGATTTGGTGACAAATATCGGCTCTGGAGTGGCAAAACTGGAATAGTTCACATTCCGTCAGTCTCTTGAACAGGCTCGCCTGTGTGAAGTTCAAAGTTTTCAGACCCATTAATGCAATAGGAGAGCATGGACCGCCTGATTTCCAGTCCTGAGCTCAGTTGGCTGTACCAAGCTTTCTCAAGGTAGAGCTGTGTATTCTCCTTCATCAGAAAACGTGTCTGGTTTTAGTCCTTTCTCAGCCCCCTTTCAGATGCAGTGTAAAATACGAGCACAATGTAAAATATGAACCACAATGAGTCGGGACACAGTGCCATAAAACAAAAGAGGGGACATCTTAAATAGTGCTTGCTGCTGAAAATGGCTGCAGGAGGCAGCCAGTGCATGATGCTGATGCCAGTAACCGAAGTATCACTGAAGCTAGACAGAAAGTTACTTATTCGGTCATCGGAGACAAGATCATTTGTCTTCTCATTCTTTGTGAAAAGGTAAAGGAAGGTGAGTGCCAAGGTGCAGTTTTGCAATTAGATGATCTTTTTTCAGCTAAACACAAAACACTCCAGTTACTAAAATCACTTCCACAGGGGTTCAAATAGCCAGTGCATTTCCCAGCATCATCAGGTTAGGATTCTGCATTTGCCATATCAGTCTCCCTGTTTGCAAAGGAAGCTGTCAAATAACATCGGACAAACACAGAAAGCGGTGTTCTCAAACCTGCTCAACTGCAGCTGACTGTAGCTCATCGCACTGACAGCAAAAAGAGAAGGCACAATCCAGTAGCCAACTTTGCTGTTGCTTCAGGTCTCTTGCATGACAAACAAGTCAGCCTTCTCAATAACAAACACTATTTTGCTATCATAAAACACTTACTGCACTTTTCCTAGGACTCAATTAGTCAGTTTTAGGGCCAGAAGCAATTCTGTTATGTCCTTCAGCCTCACAAATCTCTCAAAGATTTCACAGCAATCCAGCAAAAAAACAAATAGAAGACCTCCCACATATGAGATACTGCAACTTACAGAAAGATGCTCAAAGGTATAACCCTACTAAGTCGATGTCAAAATAGCTTTTGAGTTTAACAACTCAGGCTCCAGGTATGAAATTGGTATTTGGTTTTGAGAGCCTCAGTGACTCACGACTGGAGTCAATTTGGAAAACAAATCTCCAGCTGCTCAGATATATTCACTTTTATTTAGGCTACAAAACCCAAAAGTGTTGCTCTCAGTGCAACCTGTGCTAGCAGGGGACATGTCAGAGACATGTCTCACTTTGAAAATTTCATTTCTAACAAAAGGCAAAGGTTCACAGTTAGGCTTTCAAAGAAACTAGGCAACCAACACCTACTGCTTTTCATGCTAAACCCCAGGAACCCATCTGGCTCCAGACAGACTTTGAAACATGCTATTAAGGTCTGTTCTCTGTTGATCGTTCTGCACATAAGTGTCCTGCAGCTGCTGTTCATCTAGATATTTTATTCACTCCTTTCAGGTTAAGGATTAGCAGATTAAGGAAGGAGTTTGAAACATTGCTTCTAAGGGGAGAGGGAGGCAGGGGACTAGAAACTGAGGAAATTCAGGTCAAACTGTAGAGTTACCGGCATGAAATTAATTGCTTTTGAGAGCTCTAACAACAAAACAGATCCAGCACCCTTGCCACCTGAATGTATTTCTTGACAAAGAGAAGATAAAGGAGTGGAAAAAAAAATAATCCTTGCTGCATGCCTCCATTTAGATGTAGTTTAATCATCCCGTATGCTGGAATATCACTAAATCTGGCTGGAAGAAACCTTAATCCCACAGACTTACAGTAGGACATTGGACTGGCTGCAGAAGCAAATAGGATCAAACAAATAGTTGTAGACTTTTTGGTTCAGTTCTGAAAAAGAGCTTTCCCCACAGTAGGCACCTAGTCATTAAAATCACATTCTCTTCTGCGGCTTGGAATATAAAGACAATCTCAGCATCTCCGGGATGCATGATCTTTGCCCTCCTTACTGCTTCTTGGTCATAGTGGTTTGTCTTCTTTGCCCATCTGCCTGCATCTCGCATTGACTTTTGTTTGGATTGTAAAATGCTTGGGACAGAGGCAAACTTTTAGAGATGTGTGTTCAGGATCCAGAGCAAGAGGATCTGGTCTGCGCTGGGAACTCCCAGGCTCTACAGATAATTATGATCAAAACTCTCCTTGTTTAAAAAAAGCCACATGTGCTGAGGGAAGATGTGTTCCTGGTGTAAAATTAAGTGAAGTATAAATGTGACCAGCAGCTGGAATTTCCCAAAACGAGGCCTGAAGCCTTGTCAAATAATGCTTTGGACACGAAGCAGGGACAGTTGGCTCCCATGTCCCACTACCTTTAGCAAAAGCCATACTTTGGGTATCAGCAACCTTGTACCATGGCCTCATTCCCTTTCTGAGACACTCGGATGGCAAGTAGACGCTTTCACCTGCTAAAAAGCTTCATGTCTTTGGGGGTAACAGAGCAATGAAGAAGAGGCTGTAGAACAAGCATTTTGCTTTTCCAGCTGCAGTCTCTCCCCAGTCACATTCCCCACCACACTACTGCCTTGGCAAAGCAGCACAAACAGGTGAGGGGCAGGATTTGCTTTTGTGATGTCTGGGCCACTACTCTGCTGGCGTTAATAGCAGTTAGGGTTTTAATGGAAACACCGGTATAGTCAGGCTGAGAAACACATGTCTGAAAGTGCCACAGAGTTTCTCAATGGCTCAGGCAGTGACGTGACCCCAGGCACAGAACAGTTTTAACCTTTTCCCTTTTTTTATTTTTCCCTTTGCTTTTCTTTTAGTAAGAGTCCCAACTGGAGACTCTTAAGTTTGTTTTTGTTCGTAGAGAACCCCGAGCACGTGGTTTCTGTTTGTTTCTGTCTCCTAACTACTACTAGCACAGAACTCACAGTGACAGTAATGCAATTCATAGCCAAGGGCAGGAAAAGCTTGAGAAATAACTGTGTCAGGTTCATACTGGGGAGGGAGAAACAGCAGGGTTAATATAGTGCTGCAGGGCACAGCAGTGGAGGACTGCAGCTAAGTCGATTGATGTAACAAGGGAAAGATCTCTTGCCAGCCACCTGAGAAACCTGCTCTCGTTTACAGGCACTGCTGGTGAATGTTATTGTCATGATTTAGTATGGGTAAAGCATCTAGATGGATACTGACTGAGATGAGGGTCCCCTCATTTCAGGCACTATTCACATGAGACTGTTCTGCTGGCCTCAGGAGCTAAGCCTGTGCACAAAGTTTATCTGTGTAGCCAGATTGGAGTCTGAGGTGGACAGTGAATGAAGGACATGTCCCAAATTGGGCAACAAAGCTAGTGAGTAATAGGAGAACTGCAGCACAGCTAACGTTTGGTGAAAGGACAAAGCTGACCTTGTCATACTCACTCATCTCAAAGCCTGAGGAAGAAACTCAAAATACTCATAGGGGTAATTTTTCCTCCACAGGTCTTTTCCTGGCTCTTGGTAGATAGAAGCTAGCTTAAATTTATAAGCCTTAATTTAAATTTAAATACTCCTGTTATTCATGAAAATGACCTGTCCCTTTTTGAAAACTTGTTAAACAGTCATAACAGCCTTCTATGACAATGAGCTCCACAGTTCCTTTTGTCTTGATTAATTATTGCCTTCGCTCTGTGGAGTGAAAAAGTAAGCAAATCTGTGCTCCAGAAACAGCAATAACTGCCCTCATAGGCAGCACTGAAAAGGAATTCACATCACATTGTAAATGGCAGGAGGTAGAATTTGAAACACATTGAGCTGTATTATAAGTTAGTGAACTGAGCTTTCCTAGAGTCGCAGTGATTGGCATGAATGCATTCCCTCACAACTCAGAAGCTAAGAAATTTGGGGTTATTCTTACCTCAGTAGGAAGATTTCACAATTTGGAGAGTGTGGCAGTGACAACATCAGGAAAATGAGAGCACAGGCAGCAGAAAGCTACCTTTTCAAGAGGGCAAAGAGTCATGTGAGAGAGGGGAGAAATGGGAGATGAGGGGACTGGGTGCTGAACTGTTGCTTCAGACACAATTACAGCATCGCTAGGAAGAAATTGAGAGTTACAGAGCCATTTAAAGTCCCCTAGCCTAAAAGATCAGATGATAGAAGGTTTCATATTCATCTTCATGCCAAATAACATTGTTTATGCCATTTCCACTTGTTTTACAACCCTTGATGTGGATTGAATTGTGCAAGCGTAGCCCTACTTCCAAGAACAGCAGCACAAGTCACCACCCCAGAGAGCCTCAAGGCTGGCACCTCACAAGACACCATGGACTGAGGTTACATTAAAGAGCCTTTTCCTGTATTTGTTTCCTGCCCTGATCCTTTTCAGACAAAAAGTGTTCGTC